CAAGGACTGCGCGCTGACCAAGTAACAGTTGATGGCAACGAGAGCCTAGTCACCGAGTCGACAGCAAGCCCTGTAGACGTGAGTCAGCAGCACATCCATTTCCTTGAACGCCCGAAACAGATCACTCTCATTGATTCCTGACTCACTCACGATCCAAGAAAATGGTCGCCCACTTGCCAATGCGCATGCGGCTCTGTGGAGTCTCCCCTAAACGTCTACATCATCCATTTCATCCCGCACACCGTGACGCCATTGTGCTTTTCCCAACTAGTTAAATAACACAGTTGCATCAATGGACTGACGTAGTGATAACACGGGCTGCATTTTTAGTGCGAGTTCAAGTAGCCGCGAGAATGACCGTGCAGTGAACACGTAAGCAGTGAAATGAATTGAGTGCTAATAAGCAAAACTGCTTTCTTACCTCGAGCAACTTTTCATAGACTGCCTCACACACTGCATTCAGGTTCTCGGGGTTAGCTGGAAGACCATAGTCCGATACATTGTGGTCGCCGACGAAGGCGGACAAAACGACAGCTACTTCGGACACAAACACGCCCACCTTCGGAATTTTACATGCCGCTCCACCTAAAGGCGTCTTTGGCATCGGAGCCGTTTTCCTCATCGTCTCGAGGTAACCCAGCTACTCGAGAACTCTGACTTGAGCCCCGATTTGCGCCAGGTGTTGATTTTGTTCATGCTCCAACCTCCTGGAGTATTTCCGTGCACCAGGCTTAGGTGCTGAAGAGCTTCGCTGCACTGAAGGCTAGCTATCCTCAGTGGACAGCTCACCTTTTCTCCTCCATCTCTGCACCCTGACACGTAGCAAACGCAACACCACTTCAGTATTAGCGAGGTGTGCAGACTACTGTTAGCGGGTAGGCGAAATCAGTAGATGCAGGACACAATTCATGCGACAAAGCCATCGTCGAAGGCGAGAAGCATATGACCTACCTGCAAACCTAAGCGTGGCCAACAATCCAGTAAGCCCACCGCCCACACCCGGATAGTCGCCGTTGTACACTCTCAAAAAGTGCTCGGTTGATGGCGTTGGCGTAAGAAAACCTGCTCGTTGAAATTGCAGGCTGTTTCAATTCGTCCCTGACGGCATTCACGTAGGCCTGACCCCTGAGCGCTTTCACTCTTCTCTTGCAGAAATGCAAATCAGTGAAGTGTTATGAAACATAGTCGCACACTTACAGTGGATGCGTAACAACTGCTCATCTTACTTTCCTTAGCATGAACAATGTCTATTTAGCCACATGATGCCAAGCGTTGTAGTGGTGTCAGAGGGTGCAGTTTTGATCTGCGAAATATGGACTCTTTACTGAATCGGTTGAACTGCTCACAGTACACATCTTTGGTTAATGTTTGGTTATATCCCAAAAAGTCGCACAAAATTACATTTGCTGCACAGTTTGCATTGAATCCAGTTCATGTTTTTCAAGCTATCACCATTGTTATGTATTAATGCTTTGCCTCTTTAATGGCAACGTTGTCTAAATTGAAAGTGTGAATTTGAGCTGTTGAAGATGGTATTATGGCTTTGTGACTCAGGCTTCCACGGCAAACCTTTTCCCTTTCTCTAAAGTTCCCTCAAATTTCATTTATTACCGATTTATAATCTTTGTATCGGATTAAAAATCATTGCAGTATTCTAGTGTTTCATTGCGTCTTCGAATGCATTTTACTGAAACATACACCACAAAAAACCTTAATAGGCATTTACATGTGCTAAAACCCTCACGTTTTTGTGAATGATCGCATTGATCACTTAATTGGCTGCTGGGTTCTGTGTTGCCTGATTCTTGCTCCATTACAGTCGTATCGGATTGGTCTTTTGAATTTCGAATGCCTTTTGGTGACATTCACAAAATGTCGCATGTATTTTAAGGTAATATACTTGATTATTTATGATGCTACAGGTTAAGTGAAGTGTAGTTTGTAAAGTTGACCCTGACTTGCTATGAACGACTTCTGTTTTTCAACCGCGCTTTCTCATTACCTCTTATCATTTCGGATTGCGTGGATATCAAATAGACAGAGGACTGTATTCTAGCTTAAGACCAAATATCCGTTGTGTAGATTGTCTTCCCTTACGTAGTCCTTCAACGATTTTTACCCTAAATACAAGTTAAATCGCACTCCACCATTTGTGAAGGCGCAGTCCTCAAATTGAAGTCGGTTTGCTTACCTACTTTTATCTTATAGTTTGGTTAGATTAACGACTCAAATTCACGGCTATATTTGCCTCGAGCGCGCAAACACACGAGTCATTCTGCGAGCTAATTAACACTACCAGCTGGCCAGTTGCATCTTGGTAATATACACAGTGTCCCTGACAAGTGCAAATTCGTCAGGAATTTGCCTCACCACAGAATCGTCAATGTCTTATCTGGCTTGCTCTTCTACTACTTGCGAATGCATTACTCCATTTTCCTCACCTCACTGAGGAATGCTTGTTTTTCATGTTTGCACAAACAAGTGAAAAATAAATCGAAACGTTTCAACGCCACACCACTAATATCCACACTGTTTGCCTCATATAATGATTGCGGTTAAAATTCAGTGTGTTTTGCTAGTCACATAAAATAAATGCGAGCACGGTTTATGCCATCCACATTTACCGAACAGCTGGCGTATCAATGTGTGAGTAACATTTGCGCATGGCACTAAAGCATTATGATAATAAAATTCATGAGGGCAAAGTAAAATGTTGAACTTTCATACTCATCCATTGGTTTTAAGAGGAATGAAGCATCATTTTGTTGAGTTTATGTGACTCGTGTTCCCACAAATGTTGTACATTGCAGTATCAATCAAATGAGCAAAAACCAATAACTCTTTTGACGCCCTCTTCTTCTTGCAGGTATTATGCTGCGCATCACGTCAGGAAGCAGCGATATTGAATTTTGCCAACAATTTTGCAGCAAATCAAGGATGAAGGCACTTGATGAAAAGATGCTGCTAAGAGAGGAAATGTCGCATGCATCGCAGTTCAGAACTGCATAACTGGGATGCTAAAGCGACTATTCTGCTAAGTGTGATCACACGCCTGCCACATTACATGTGAATTATGTACCTCAAACTGTTGCATTGTTCGTCCACCTAAATAAGGCCTACTGGAACATTTACAAGCACTGGCCAAAAGTGCCACATAAAAGTTTGCCCGTAAATAATTGGCAGGAAAGATTCGTCTCTTCTTTACTAAGCTCTGCCTACCACAAGCTGTTCAGGAATCACATGATACGACAACTCTTAAGTGAGGCCATTCACGATCTTCTTCCCCTGCAAATTACAGTTTCCGTGTCACTAAACATACCCGCTAAATCATGCTGTTGAATAAGCCTTGCACTTTAAATCACGCCTGAAACCATCATGCTGTCAGATGTGAGTGCCTGACAGTCTCGACAAAAAATATGTCCAAATAAAATTTGCACAAGATTCAAATGAGGCTTTTAGTTGTTCAATTTTATCGTTTAACAAGTGCAGACAATGGTTTATCGTTATCAATCTTCTTATTATAGAACACGACAATGCAAAAGTGCGTCCATTTTGGTGCAAAAATGATTTGAAAATTGAATGATACAAACTCACGATAAAACGGCTCTTTGCGTACTAGCAGCAAGTTAGATTAACGCACAATGAGAGTTTTAATTTAACCACCTTAACGACTCGGCTAGCAAAAGACGTTACCTCTTAATTGTGCGACATGCCGTAATTAAACCGATTATCGCTATTTCTAAGCCACCAACATATCATGTTGTGTTGTAAATAGAATTCTCAAGCCCATTGCAATATCCGAGCTGGTAATTTATCAAAGAACCAAAGCGATTTACCGTCCTCGATTTAACCATTTAAAAGGGTTTTCTAGCAAAGTTCTTACCAAAATCGTCTGCACAAAAAAACATCACTCTCACAACTCCCTTCATCTATGCGACTTAAAATATCTCAAACCGCAACATTGACATTCCAAAGCAGAAAAATTTGAAGAAAATCATAGCAGTGCATTTTTTTAATACCTCCACAAATCAGGAGTGCAATCAGTGCAGCGATCATTAATTGAAATGAGAAGGCAGTTCATTTCGGTGGTAGCTGGATCTCCATCTGTCTGCGGATCTTCGCGACGAGATATTCGTGTATAATGGCGAGTGCGACTTCGTCGCCCTTATACATTTTAGTAAAGTCCTTGACAGTAATTTTGGAATGTTCGTCCCGGAGGATAGACTCCAACTGCTCCAGAATTTCAGCCTTGCTAAAGAGAAGGAACAGAGTCATGTAGTGAAAATGACGATGACCTACGTTGGCATGGCTCAGACACCAGTTGCACAGGATTCCTTTCAATAATCGCACATTTTGTGAATGCAAACATATATATATATATATATTCACCTCTTTTGTACTTTACTGGCCAATTTGTGTTCTAGGTGCTTTCGGACAAGAAAATAATTCGCAGATCAGTTCATGAACTTTACTCCGTAACGTGCATTTTTTAGGTTCTCAGGGATTAGTTGATCCGATAAAACGAGCTTCTCTTACTCATCCATGTTCTTTTTATTTCGTGTCTAAAGTATCTTCAGGGCTGCACTGTTGAATTTGCTATGTTGGCAAACACGTTGATCAGGTGAGTAGACAACTAATTTCGACTTGCATGACTCAAGTTAAAATAGTTTGGAGGAAAATAATGTCCGCCAAAATAGGAAAATTGCCAAATGTTATACTGGAAAATAAAAATGGTGACGATGTTTACCAGTAATGACCAAGGAATTTAGAGACAGAAGGACAGAGCTAATGCAATGCACGAATTCTATCTTCTGAAGTTGCTCATTTTACCGATTGAAGGGGCGAGTCGACTTTTGCAACCACACATCACGACTTTGGAAATTAGGCAAAAAAGTATATACAACGGCACCTATTTACAGATGTGATTCGATGTTTTGAATCAAATCATTATGCCGCTTGGAGGAAAGCTTCGACATCTACAACTGCACTCAACCACATAGGTAAGCAATGCCGCAAGGACTAAATAGTAGGACGTTGTAAAACTGACCAAGAAGGATCTATCACGAATGTGGCAATTGAACTGCTTCCAAACGTGGCGAAAATCAAATTGCATCAGCAAATCCACGGCCATCGTTACTGTTAATATTAACTCTAAAATAACAGCTTGTCAAGGCTATGAAATCAAAAAAATTTTTTGTCGAAAACAATGGTCAAATGAGGTGACACAAATCACACCCTCGCATCAGTGGGACTAGGCACATTGACCAAACTTGCTGCACCGTCAGTTGTTCCATCTCAAATCCAAAAGCATCACGTGTTTGACTTGCATTAACCCGTTATAAAGCTGCATATTTGGAGGTTTAAGCAAGGACACCTGGTCCCTTTGACAGGGCACACCGTTAATCTGAAATGTCTGTCCAAATGTGTGGATGGTAAATACACGGAAGGTTAGTTGAAGAGGGTACGTACTTTGAAGCAATTCTAATGCAATGCTGATGAGACTTGACCGCTCTACACTCATAATCCCATCAACTAGGTTTCTGCATTCAAATCCACTGACAAGCTGTAGCTTAGGAATAATGTCAAGCATAGTGCAATGCAGGCTAATCCGAATTTTCGGGA